AGCGCAGACAGGGGCAACACGAGCATGGATTCGTCTCTCCCTCTCTCTCTATCTTTATGTATGGTGGTGCACGTACAACAGCCGGTCAGACGTTTTACGGTTCGTCGAATCTTGAGGCGACGACCTCTTCGCCGAGGGCAGAGGAGCCTAAGGATTTTGTAATGATTCTATCTTGGCGCTCTGCTGCCTCGCGAGAATCGAGCAACTTTCTTCAGTCATGGGAGAATGTCGTACTTTCGAGACGATTTTTTCTCTCCTCGAAATAGAGGGTAAGGTTGCGCGTGGAGGAAGAGAGAGAGAGAGAGAAGACATCGGGGTACTCGGATGTATAGTCGGTCGAAGCGATACGTCGAGGTTGCGAGAATTGATCGGGCGTGTAAAGTATGATACGTGTAATTCGAGCGCCGAAACAGTAATCTCGTTCAGGGTCGCTCGATGTTAACTCGGGATCGATAAAAGAGGTTTGGGATTTAACCATTTAACGCTCACTATTTTTGCCAACTTGATGTACGAAAAGTGATCAATTTTATTTTATTATTATTTTCTGGGTGTACAGAAGTGAGTTTGCCGTTTGTTTATAATGCCGTGACTTAGATTTTTGTAATAGAATTGAAAGGATAGTGCAACGTGAACGGTGAAAGAAAATAATTAAACAAAATTGCACTTTTTGGAGGTTCACTCTTTGAAGCGAAGAACAGACTCTAGTTGCACAGGAATTTTATTTAAACAGTAATTATTAGGTGGGACATAAATAATCTCACCGTGAAATTTGTGAAAACAGGTTAAATTAGATTAGTTTTCTTAATGTTTCAAGGTGCATATGTAAGTACTAAAAAGGTGGGACACTTTTTACCCCACTATGCCCCAAAGAGTTAAGACGGTGCACCACTCTGAAGCGTATAAAAATATGTAAACTTTGGGAATTTTTTTATAGGTGACTACTAAATGAGAAGTTTCAATTTTTTTCAGAGGATGACTTTCAGCATGTTTCTCCAATTTTTAAAAATAAATATTTTCCTTTTCAAACTACTTTACTATTTTGAAGAGAGCTGAAAGTTACATTTATATCCCCTGAGAAATGAATTATTACAATTACACCCCTTGGAACCTTTCATTTAGCAGTTACCTATGAAAGAAATCCCCAAATTCTACCTATTTTCATGTTTCAAAATTGTGTACTCCCTTAATCCTCAACAGCTGCAAGTTAATTTCCAGTAATGCTGCAATTATCATTGACCAAAAGACAGCTTAAATGCCGTGTAGCGTTAACAAAAGATAGTAAGCAGAAATTTCAAATATCAATTGACAAAAGACGGGCGACCCTGGGCGTGGCTATATCAATCAGTGTCGCCGCTTAACGCCTCAATTTACGACCTCGCTTCGACCGACTGTACAATAAGAGAATGGTTAATACAGGTAAAATCAGAAAATTGACCTGTTTCATTGGGTTTGCCCGTTACATCGAGATGGAACAATAGGAAAATGATGGTTCGTCGTTTGTTTTCTGAGAGGGGGATGGTATTATCTGTAGATTGGAACGGCGGAGCTGTGTAACTTGTCATTCGACAAACAATACCGTGGAAACAATGGTATTTTGCTTGTGGTATAAGCAACGGAGGAGGAAAGAAAAGGAAAGAAAAAATTCAGAAACGGGCAAGAGCTATTATTGTCTGACCGTGTCCTCGTGTTTACAGCGCGCGTTTGTAAGATCCCCCGTGGAGCAAGAAATCTCTCTCACGCACGTGACTCACGTGGAGACGGTGATCGTGGACAAAGGTAACCCGCTGGAAAAGTCATTCGGCCGTCATTGAATCGCCGCGTCACGGTTACGCGGATTTCGCTTGGCTCGCTCTAGAATTACGCAAAATATCCCCTGACTACGTAACCAGCTTGCTATTCGCTTTCCTTTTTCATCGTGGACAAAGAATTTCTCTCATTGAGAAAGAAAGATAGCTATACGCGACGTGTTCAACTCGTTGTTTTATAATATTCGATTACTTAGAAGGTGATGGTACAGTTGTGATAAGAAAAAATTGAAAGGTTTGATTTTTAAAGATTGAATGGACTCTGTGGGAGAAATATTTTGTAATTATTCTATCTTGATGCTCCTTGGAGAATTGAGTTTAATATCACTTATAGGGTGATAGTACAGTTGCAATAATAAAAAATCGAAAGGTTTGACTTCCAAATATTGGGTAGAGCTATGAAAGAAATATTTTGCAATAATTTTATCTTAGGGCTTCTTGGAGAATCGGTTTTATAAAGATTGAATGGACTCTGTGGGAGAAATATTTTGTAATTATTCTATCTTGATGCTCTTTGGAGAATCGAGTTTGATATCTTATAAGGTGATAGTACAGTTGTGATAATAAAAAATTGAAAAGGTTAATTTTCCAAAGATTGGGTAGAGCTATGAAAGAAATATTTTGCAATAATTTTATCTTAGGGCTTCTTGGAGAATCGAGTTTGATATCACTTATCAGGTGATAGTATAGTTGTGATAATAAAAAATGGAAAAGTTTAATTTTCCAAATTTAAATGGATCTACGAAAGAAATATTTTACAATGATTCTATCTTGGCGCACCTTGGAGAATTGAGTTTAATATCACTTATAGGGTGATGGTACAGTTGTGATAATAAAAAATGGAAAAGTTTAATTTTCTAAAGATTGGGTAGAGCTATGAAAGAAATATTTTGCAATCATTTTATCTTAGGGCTTCTTGGTGAATAGAGTTTGATATCACTTATCAGGTGATAGTATAGTTGTGATAATAAATAATTGCAAATTTCAATTTTCAAAAACTGAATGGATCTACGAAAGAAACATTTTGCAACGGTTCTACTTTGGCGCACCTTGGAGAATCGAGTTTAATATCACTTATAAGGTGATAGTACAGTTGTAATAATAAAAAATGGACAAATTTGATTTCCAAAGATTGGAAGGATCTATGAAAGAAATATTTTTCAACGATTCTGTCTTGGTGATACTTGGAGAATTGAGTTTAATATCACTTATAGGGTGATAGTACAGTTGTGATAATAAAAAATCGAAAGGTTTGACTTCCAAAAATTGGGTAGAGCTATGAAAGAAATATTTTGCAATGATTTTATCTTAGGGCTTCTTGGTGAATCGAGTTTAATATCACTTATAAGGTGATAGTACAGTTGTGATAATAAAAAATTGCATATTTCAATTTTCAAAAATTGAATGGATCTACGAAAGAAATATTTTTCAACGATTCTGTCTTGGTGATACTTGGAGAATCAACTTTCATATCACTTACAGTGTGATATTACAGTTGTGATAATAAAAACTTGAAAACAATATCCAAATGATTCTATCTTGGCACTCCTCGGAGAATCGAGTTTCACATCGCTAGGGCACCAGTACAGTTGTACCAATAAAAAATAAAACAGTCTGATTATCGAAGATTACACGGATCCACGTGTAAGAAAAATTGAAACGGCAAGGTGTTTAATCGGTACAGAATAGATCGACCAGTGAGCTAGATGACTCGATTGACTGATAATCGGGGTTCATCGAGGTGACAAGAAATCCGCGTGTGCCCATCCTATACTCATTAAACACACTACTCATATTCTTCGTTAACGTCACGCTTCTACGGAGAATTATCTTTGCAAGATAGATAGGAAAAAAAAAAAACAAAGAAGGAAAACACAAGAAGAGGTGAAAAAAGGACACGGGACTGGAGATGACGGTAGGTGGAAGTGCATTGGCCTCTACGCGAGAGAGCACGGAAAGACGTAACGTATGAAAAGTATTCGTTGCACGGAAAATAGCGTATAGGAGCTATATATTCGCACGATATAACGGAATGAAAGTTTCATCGGGAAAAGTTGGCCGTGCTCGTGTAACGATACACCAACCTTCTTATCTCGTTACCATTTCCTTTTCTCTTTCTCTATTTCTCTCCCTGTAGGATATCTCGTATTTATTAGCGCGAGTGAAAATATCGCTTGTTACACCGAAACGAAATAATATCAGCGAGCTTTCATCTCTCCCGATTGTCTTTTTCTCTACGTCCCGACGATCAAATCGAAATTTACATCTGCACAACAGACATCGGTATCGTGATTCCTCCGCTTAATAATCCGGCTCCCGGCTGCACCGATCAGCTATTGTACGTCTAATTAATGCACGCTACTCGTCGCATGAAATTTACGCGCGTTTATTCCCGTTAGACGTGGCGTGTTCGCCTAGTCGTCTCATCCCTTCCCAACAAGTCACTGGACACGGATGTCCAACGATGCTTTGGACGGTCATTGACTCTTTGCTAGTCGCTGAAGGGTCACACGAAGAGCGTGCTCGAGAGATGCGCTCGAGGTCGATAAGCTTTCGAGTCGAGAGATGCCTTCGACCAACGGAATTCTTAACTACCTTCCCAAACGACACGTTCTCAAAAGACTTCTCACGGGTCAGATTAACACCAAACTTCACGCCAGACCGTAGCAAATTTCGTACGCCATTGATACTTGCGTTACGAACGACAACACGCGTCTGTTATCAAAACTGTCTTCGAAGAACATGCGTTAGGGGGCTGGACGTTTCAGCGAAGCAACGGGAGACTTTCAACCCTTTCGCTACTCACTCTAGGCACAGTAGAATTCTACTACCTTGGATGTTTTATTAAAAAAAGAATCTGTCATTTCCGAGGAATAATTAGAGACAGACTCCGGCGGTAAAAGGGTTGAAACAGCGCGGAGATTTGGTCCTGTGAGCGTCGACGCGAAGGCTGCGACTCGGAGGGCTGGCCCTCAGGACAAAGAGAAAATCGGAGAAAGCGAAAGGGAAACACGGAAGAAAGAGAGAGTAAGGGGAGGCTGAGTCGAGGGAGAGGAAGATTCGGTGAACAGCGTAGAGGGAGAGTGAGGGAGAGATTGAAAAGGGAGAAGGAAAAATAGCAGAACGAAACGTGAAGCTGGGATGAAAAGTGTGGAGCATGCGGGGGAGATCGATAATTTCTCTGTATTTACTCACCTCGTATACGTTCGGGTGCCAAACTTTTGTCATAAATCGAATGGTTGGTGGACTGTACGGATAATCCGGCGGGAACTTCATGTGTGCCTGGAACAAGATGAAAGACGCGCGTTAAAATGGCGAGATGATGCGTTAGGTTACGCGAATCGATCGATAATCGGTTATGCAAATTATCAAAGGCTACGGAGGGGCTCCGTGGGAATTATTTACAAGTCATTTACGAATTGCTCGACGCGTCCAGAGAGAGAAAAAAAAAAAAATAAAACAGCCAGGGAGAAGAAAAAAATTGAACGATAGACGCCTGGCGTCGGTTCGTGAGGACGCAGTCGCGCGAGGGGTGAATTTACCCGGAAAACCGTCCAAGAACCGAAGGGTTTTATAAAATTCGATCCGTTTTACATATCGAAGGGCTCCTTCTACAGTACACGGCCAAGCGATTTCGTTCCTCGTTCGTTTTACCTTAACGGTTTCACTAGTTTTTCTCGTTCAAGGTGTTTATTGCTGCCCCAAAGAACGAACACCGAAAAAAGGTGTTACACAGTTTATCCTCGATAAACGAGGGATCGCGTTATTACAAGGTATTTAACGCTAATCGTACCGACCCTTTAGGTATACCTACTCTTAACCCTATTGTGTTCCTCGTTTTGACTATACACTTAAGACTTTTGGGTGAAAAAGGACCTAAGACCTTATGTGTAATAATTTTTGTTTCCAACGCGACATATGAACCTAGACAATAAACGTTTAAAATAATGTTAAGGAACGTAAACTTGATAACAGCAAAAATTATTAAAAATATAAAAAGGCGGTGGGTCAAAAAAGACCCGAAGACTGCTCTAGGGTTAAGGGGGTATTTTAGTCTAGATTTTTCAAAAAAATCGATTTTTTTTTACATTTTCTGAAAGTGGACATTTGCAGAAGTATAACTGTCGAAGGATTTTTCCGAATTCGTAAAATTAACGAAGTTATAGATGGTTAAAGAAGACGACATGTAGCCCGTAGTCGTAAGGATACCATTCTCGTGTAACTGGTACGAGAAACTTTAAACTTTTTCTAAATGGCCGACATGATATCTCAAGTTCTAGTTGTCCGATTGACTCCAAATTTTACACGCACCTTCGGTGGATGTGTCGTTATCGTCTGAACCAGAATTACGCCAAAATATATATTTCTCTGATTTTTAGAGCCTCTGAAAGACGAAAAAAGTCGAAGAAATCGATAGTCGAAATTCAAAGTGCCGCCATTTTGTAAATTTTCACTATTTTTTTATATATAATTCAGACAGTTTTGATTATTTTCACTTGAAAAAAATTGTGAACTTTCTTAAAACATGAATAAATATGTGTGCAAAATGCCGATACTGAGAAACTTATACTTTCCTTACAAAAAAATCCCTAAGAAGGACTAAAAAATGACACTCTAGACTAGAATACCCCATTAAGCGGTCAAACGACCGGATACGAAATAATCACATTTTTTCCGAAAGGAACACCGCAGAAAATAGTCTTTAGGTAATGATAAAAAAAATTACACATTTACATTTTTATTTTGAACAAGAACGGGAAAAACAGAGGTTGCACTCGGAGGTGATTTTGCTGTAGAAAAGGTTGCAAATCGGATGTTTGAAATTTTCTAAAATTAACGCAGAGATAAACTATACTATTTTATTTAAATATTGAACGCACTCTCTATTTCACTATCGCAATCAAATTTATAGAGGTCCCATAGATCTGATCTCTGATTTGATCAATTATTTGTCATTTGGTGGTACGTTCAGTGTTAATAAAACGAAATTCCTTTTTTTAAAAGCTAAGTGCTTTCCTTTCTTCACAAAATTCGAGTACCTCGAATAAAAAATTGCTACGCATTTTTATCTCTTACAAGTTTTTTTTTTAATCCAAAAAATCTGCAGAAAATATTAAGAGAGAGTGGATACGAGGTACACGTTTTCACCAGCCATTCATTCGCACGTGACACGAGATACTTAACTCTTGCTAGCAATAAAACGTGCACATTTAAATTCTCATAAGGATAATTAACACAAGAGTGTGTCCACTTAATGTGTACTCTGGCTAGCTAATAAATTTTTCCATACTACAGAGCAAACAACGAATCACTCTCGTTTACCGACAGACAAAGAAAAATGAAACACCAGCGAGACGACAAAAAAGAGAGATATCGTGGATAATGGATGCGTAATGAACGGACAGGTTTGCTGTTAGATAATGACCGACGAAATAAGCGACTTAAAGGTATCGATAAATCGAGGATCGTCTAGAGAACAGTGGAAGGGACGAGACAGAAAGAGATACAGAAGGGAAGAGACGAAACGTTCTCTTCTCCCGTCGCGTTTCCACGCACTCCGTGTGTTTCATACAGAAATGAATCCGTTTCACACACAAGGGTGTACATAAGGGTCGTCTCGACGCTGTTGGTAGACTTTTGTCGATGCTTCGTCGACGGGACGCTATATTGATCGCAACCTGGTCATGGCCCAAATATCCACCTCGTCCTCCGGGATACCGCGTCCTAGAATTAACTTACTTTCCGTCCAGCCCCCGTTCTCTCTGTTTATGTTCACTCCGCGACCGAATTATTTCTGCCACGGTGAATTGACCGTCGATTTAATCACCGGTACTTCGGAATTCGCGTCGCGGGAGCTTCGTTAACCCTTTCACTGCGCAGCGTTCACAAACGAAACGGACCAATCGTGCAGTATTTTAGCTGATGGAGGGACAATTTGTGGGAATTATATTGGATTCTTGGGGAAGAAATTCTGAGAAGGAAGAGTGTGACGCCAACACGCGAAAAGGAAACGCGTTGTGTGCATCGTTGGGCAGTTGTTTAACCCCTTAACATATGACAACGCGTCAGACTCGTGGCAGAGATTCTGGCGAAGATGTGAGAAAAATAGTTATATTAGTAAGAAAAATTAATAGTAATCCTAATTTTCGTTTGAATTTGTAAGACTTAGGACTGTTAAATGTAATTAATCTGTTGTGTTCAGTTTAAAAGATTAGTTTTTGTCACCGGGTACAATACTAAAACAAAATGGCTGACGCTTAGATACGTAGTCAGAAAAGAAATCATAGGTTAAGGGGTTAAAACAAATTGGGTGCCTAAAGGCGCTGTTCGCAGTTAAAGGGTTAACCATTTGCAATCGAGTAGAGACTGAGAAGCGACATTAACCCTAGAACTACCAGTCGAGTCAAAATGACCCATTAGTGACTTTCCAAAAATGAATTTTTATGTAACTGAACCGTGATTGGAAAATTCGATTCATATCCATTCAAATAGAATCATACATGTAGAAAATAAATTCGGAAAGTTACAAACGATAATACTGACCAGTATTGAACATTCACGTTTTTTCGAAAGATGCTAACGGGGCATTTTGACCCGGTCGGTAATTCTACTGTTAAGTAATCGTCGCTTGGTAAATAATTGATCAAATCAGAGATCAGATCTACGGGACCTCTATAAATTTGATTGCGATAGTGAAATAGAGAGTGCGTTCAATATTTAAATAAAATAGTATAGTTTATCTCTGCGTTAATTTTAGAAAATTTCCGATTTGCAAACTTTTGCTACAGCAAAATGACCTCCGAGTGCAAAGGGTTAAACAAACCGCCGGCTGGTGTTTCGTTCGAAAGACGAGTCTCAGTTGCCCACGATTTTTCCTCCAGTTTCGAACGTTCTCAAAGCGGCGAGACACGCACTGGGAACTCTTCTCACCGATATAATAAACGCGTAGCATGAGAGAATATTCTCGGTAGAGATAAGGTGTAATTGCGCGAAGAATTTAGCAGAATCGTTCGACAAAGAGGATTTCAAGTCGCTCAAGCTGCACTTCCTGTTTTTCAACGCGATACCAGAGAATCGATCGGTTCACGACGTTATCAGCCGGTAATCTAGTGTAACGTCGAGTTAAAGGTATTCGCGGAACCGCGGGCGAGATCGATTATTTATGCAATTACGCGGCGGTTTTTACGTTCCGTGTTAACTGTACGCGACGAATAATACAAACACGCTCGTGCCTCTTTTGTACAGAAGTTATGGTTTATCGCGTTGACTCTGCGCGGAGAGATGGACGTATGTAACGAAAAATATATGGTGCAGCAAAAAAAAAGGAAAAAAAGAAGAAAATAATACGGCTTGGATATGCAGGTAAGAACGAGCGAACGAGCGCGTGCGCTCGATTCTTCAATAATGCAACGCACTCGACACGTGACACGGACATGCTACCTTGACAATACCGTAATGGAAGGTAAAAAAAAACCATCGCCTATTACTGTCCACAGATACGTTTGGCTATCAGGAAGAAAGGAAAAAAAGAGGAACGTTGATACGAATTCAATCGAATGTAGATATTCTTAGCGTGGGATTAACCCTTTTGCACTCGAAGGCCTTTCTGATATAGGGAAATAGCAAATTAGAGATTGTTTGTTGAGTAAAGTAGATGAAATTTTTTGAAACTAACGTAGAAATAAATTATACCATTATATTTAACCATTAACCGGTCACTGAAATTTTTGTGCTTAAATGATCATGTACCGACTGTGGGACTGATATTTTTGGGAACGGATAGAAACACGAAATTTTCATAAACTTTTTTAGAACTCGATAGAAACTGAAGTTAAAGATTTACTTTGTACATTAATAGATTTAAATTACAAAAAGACAGATAGGAAAATATGAATTTAGTGTGGCAAATTCAAGAAATGTCAGCAGATTTATGGCACATGACCAGTTAAGGGTTAACGTATTTTTATGCTATACAAGACTTTGCGACAGTTTGTTCCTTCGAACTATTTATTTATGGAGATCCATGCTGTCCTGGAAAATCTCGACTTTAAGGGCGCCTCCATAAATTATTTACCAAGTGGTGAAAACAATAACGTCGCTTCTCAGCTCGCCTCTCGAGTGCAAAGGGTTGAAAAATAGCGGATTTTCCATTGCCACGAGATATTTCAATCAGTCGTTTATTCGTTACTTTTGCACCGGTCTACTACTCGACTGTGCACCGCGTGACCTACAAAATTTTCCCGACCTATTTCGACGATAAGTACTTGACGGGCAACCCTTAGATGGCACTGCGCGACTACAACATCCTATATAGTTCCGTGAAGTTCGTGTCGATTCAGGAGGATCAAGGAGTGACCCAAATCAGCAAGACAAACTCGAGGCCGTTTTAATGCTACTCGTTGCAATTATAATACCTAAGTAGTTTTTTCGATTGCGAGATCGCGTCTCTGTTGGCACACCGTGCTTCGTTCTCGTTCGAAACGAATTACAAGAGACCGAATGTGCAATTTGCTTTTCAGCTGACGATACACACACGACGTGTCGCGAAACTGAGAGGAGAAAACGCGGCGAGCAGAGTATAGACACACACACGCACACACACACGCGCGCGCGCGCGCGCACACACACACACACACACACAGAGAGAGAGAGAGAGAGAGAGAGAGAGAGAGAGAGAGAGAGAAAACAAACAAACAAACACACACACACACACACACCAGAGAGAGAGAGAGAGAGAGAGAGAGAGAGAGAGAGAGAGAGAACGGTGTATATAACACGTTGAAATCCTTGGGCGATCGAAGAATAAAAGAAACAGCAGCAGCAAGATGAAAACCTTGCGACGTTACATCTGGAGAGAGAGTGAGAGAGAGAGAGAGGAAAATTTATCAAAGAATAACACGACCTGCGTACTTTCGACAACGATAACCAGTAATATATGAATTCTGATTGTTCACGAAATATCCACGGAAGAAATTCTGCATTATTCATGATCGACGCCATGGGAGAAGGAAGCAGCAGTGCCCTCCGTGTTTGACGCTCGAAATAACTTCATCTTTTTTCGAGGCACACGTGCCTTAGTTGAGTCTCTCGCGAACCGCTTCGAGTCGGTTAGTCATCGAAACTTTTGTCCTCTGCGATTTCTTCTGCAGCACCAAACACGAGATCGTATATACTTTCTCTGGAGAGAATTTCCCGTTAATGGCCCCGTTATCGTGATCAACAATGTCAGAGATAACAGAGCTTCGTTTACAGCAACTCGAACTAACGACAATTCGCGTACGCCAAGATTAAACGGAAGATAGATATGTATGAATAAATCCTGAATTTTGATTAATCTCTTGTTTTATAACTTCTATAATACTTTCCTTACTTTTTCTATCAATATTTAAACAAAGCAAAAACTTTAAAAAGACTTAAAAAAAACAATTGGTACTGAAGCATTGAATGGGTAACGGAAAAAATCGTAACGCAAGAAAGGTTAAGTTTGCCGATAAATGATTGACTCGAATAATCGATTCATGCAGCAACAGTTTCCACGTAGAAGGCGAACTACAACTCTCGCTGTGTCCATCTCGTCGTGGCGACGGGGTGAAAGGATTAAATGGGCCAAAATCAGAAGGGAAGGGGGCCTATATACACGTGACGACGGTAGAAAATGACACGAGCAACCGTAGAGACCTATTTTATCGGCTGACCTCTTTGCAGAGAGACGGTTTTCCCCGGGGAAAGAAAAATCCGGCCCGTTCATCCGAGGCGGAATGGGACTGGGTGAAAGTCGTTCAGGTGATTCGAGGGATGCCGGCCAAAGATAGAACCGAGACAATGCTCGATGGCGTTTTATGTAACTTAGCAACACAGTTACGCCTCGACATCGCTGCGGATCGATCGTAAATCCCCGCGGAAAAGAAGCAACTGCTTATGATAGATCACGTAGTACCTACTTATCGAAAATGGAGGCAAACACAGGACGATAATAATGGAGCCTTTTTTTTCGGAGAAGAAACATGATTTATCCTTTCCGTTTTGTATCCGTGATAATTGGAGTAATTGTTCTTACGATTAGAATTTAGTTCACCGAACGAATGTGTATATAACGCTCGATAACGGAATACTCGTTCCGTGTCGATTAACCCGACAGCCCGGCGAACAGTTCAATCGAACGATTGAAGGCCCGCGGAAAATTGTATCTTCTACTATATGTATTGGAGAAGTAATAATAGTACACATGTTGAGAGGTCAAATTATGTTACAATTTTCAATTAAACGGGTCGCCAAAGATTTCTCTGACCGTGACGATAAACGCAATGCGATCGATTCGCCTATGTAGAGAACGGTTGATAACGCTTCGCAACGAAGAACAACACGTTACGGATAATAACGTACAACGACACTATTTACGATCGAGATTTGCGTCACGATTATCAGGCAAGTTAGAGTCCCGTGAAACAGGATTCGACGACACCCACATAGACGCTAGGATGATCACGTGTACGGAACGATATACACGATTCGCAAAATAACGGTGTTGTTGTCTGGTGGTTGTCCGTTGCGAACCAGTTACACTGTGGGAAGATGTAGGTATACGCTCGCGTTACGTGAATAAGCGTTCGTAAATTCATAACGAAGCGGAGAGTGGTTTAGAAAGCGGACACGGACTGTACAAAAACCCGTATAACTGTGCGGCAACCGGGCAGAATTCATTTTCTGCCCGCTGGAGATCAGACCTGCCGTGTATAATATTGTACTACCGCGATTGGAAAAACAAGTCTGGATATTTATCTTGAAAATATATACGGTTGAGCATATGTTATCGTTTCTTTTGTAAAAATCAAGATTGCACACACGTTTCAGATTCAGCTGGAAAACATTTGTTTAACAGAAAGAAGAACGCTGTACAGCGTCTCGAGATGTATCATCGATCGTGTGATACACGGGAAAAAAATCGATAAGGGGTTTCGTATCGTGGATGAAACGTGAAATCAACGTGGAACGGGACCGATCTCTAACTCTGCATTGTGTAAACTTTAGTTTTCAGTGTTGCTCAATGCTTTTTGGAACCGGTCACCGCTTGGCCTGTATGTGTAAACACTCGGCGAATCGTAACGCGACCAAGGAAATTCACGGCAATGAACGCTGCAATACGACTATCATGCAGGAAATCGGTCGCGGGAAAAGTCGACATTCGCGTCGGTTAGTTTTCTGGTCAAGGTAATCGTAATGCTTCGGGTGTCATCGCCGGGAAGACTTTACGCGGAAACACTAATGAACGCACGAGTTTTTCGAATGTACTTTTAACTAAAAGCTGTACAACTGTACTTTATTAGGATTAGTGGAAAACAAATGGTCACAGAGATACCGTTTCTAAGCAAGAAAGCGTAGTATTGGCCAATTTTACGATTGTAGATTACGTGGAATGATTACGAAAAAAGGGAAATGAAAAAAGTGTGGTTCTTAAACAAATAAAAACGCAAAAAAAAAATTATAACTATATTTAGTAACGAATCGAAATAGCTTTCAATAAAAAAAAAAGTGCCTGTATGTACTTATAACTTGTATCTATTGAAAGAGAAAGCAAGAACATAACCAAGAAAACAAAACTGTACCCTACTGTAATATTTACGCAAAAAAAAAAGCACGAAAATAAAGAAATTCCTAGTGTCACAGACTTTTCTTAATATACGTACCGAACAAAGACTAAGAATAATTATAATAATTACCTTGAAGTATCCTCCTTGGTAAAGCGTATCCGGAGGCCCGAAGATAGCCACTTCCCACTCAAACATGTTGTCCTCGTTAACGAGTTTCACGCGGAATCCCTCGACGGGTTCCTCTTGAAGACTTTTATATTCGAGGGCGAGTGCCCTGAGAGCACTACTCGTTGTTTGTGCCATATTTCTCTTCTGGAATTAGAACCGCAGTCTGTTGCAGAAAGCGGAACGTCCCAAACCTCCTGAAGTGGTAGCACAGAACACTACAGTCGGACGGACGCCTTTGCGAACACTGCTCCTTCTCCAAAGAATCAATTTCCAACGGGTTTCCGGATAATTTGAGGCCTCTACCACGATTTACTTAGTTGTTCCTCGACACGTCGTGATCTTTCACTCGCGGCAGGATGTTCCCTATGATGATTCTATAATTCTGCACACCAAATAAACAAAGAAATATGATCAGACCTACAAACTGCGAAGTGCCCCTGCAGTCAACAATACACCATTCCCGATGCACGCACCTCTAACAAAACAGCTGACGTACCTTCTGCGTCAGCGTTGCTTTCCGCGCATGCGCACTACAATATTCCCTATTTTTCTCTCGTACCACGAATAATTTTCGAATGATAATAAACGCGAAACGAACCAATTATTGTGCTCAAAACGTTGCAACGGTTTTCTTTTATATTATTTCAGTTAATAATTCAAAATCTGAAAAGTTTTAACTGCGATTTAATAATTTTCTAGACTTCCTGTTTCCTGATTGGAAACTATGTCCCCAATCAGGTGACGCATAAAGCAGCGATATATACACTTGTCGTATAACCACTTCTTCCCGTGCGATGCGCTGATTGAATATTGTTGCAAAGGAACCAAAAGCACTGACCAATCAGTAGATCTTATTGCTGTAGCGAATTCTGATTGGAGGGTACTGGACAAGAATACAAAAATAGAAGTTTGGCCAACGTTACAGATTAATAAATGTATATTTCGCCTTTATATTATATAAGTATAATACATCTTACGCGTCGTAATTAAAACCTTATTAACTTGTCATGATACGCGTTTTTATGTGCACTTTTTATCGAGCTTTGTACGTTTTTTTGGACTTTAACATATTTATATAAGAAGTTGCCGTATTACAATCTTTAGTATTCCACACGGTTTTTTCGAAGTTTGCAAGAAAATACGTTTGATTAGGTTAGATCGTTGGTATCAAGTAAATTTACAGAATTCACAATGTCTACCTTAAATACGTCTCTTATACAACCAGATCTTATTAAAACCTTTGCGTTTTGGGGTAGTATACTTGCTTTAAAATTAGTGGCAGTTGTAGGACTAACTGCACGTTACCGAATAAAGAAACGGGTATATTTCTTATCGATTTGTATTAAAACATAGTACTTATTTAAAGCTTATATATATTAAAGATACAATTTTTATTTTTTTGCAGATATTTATAAATCCTGATGATGCGGTATTTGTTAAAGGAGCAAAGATTGCAAACAACGATCCGGATATTGAACGTGTGCGGAGAGCACACTTAAATGACTTGGAAAACATTCCTCTATGGTTCTTTGTTACATTCCTATGGTTAACTACAGGACCTGCTGTGTGGTTAGCTACAATATTAATCAGAACATTTGTGCTTGCTAGGATTGTTCACACATTAGCATATGCTGTTTATCCAGCACAACCTTACAGGGCTCTATCCTTTTTTGTAGGCATGAGTATTACAACATTTCAAACAATAAGCACTTTGTTATATTACATTTAAAGAATTGTTTTACCATTATATTCTTAATTTTTTTGTATGTAATCATTTATTAATTGTTATTCAGTTACATTAACATTGCAAAGGGAGCATTAAATCTATTTTTTATCAAGTTTAAGGGAAAGCATTTTTTTTTGTATCAATTTATATTTTAAAGAAGAATTTTATGTTTTTCATACACTGTATTTGTATGGTAGTTGTTATAATGTAAATAAAATGTATCTAAAAATTTGAATATTAAATGAATTTCAAACATTTTATACGTTAAAAATGAACTTGTATGTTTTCTTGCCCTGTCACTTATCACTATCAGTAATATTTAAAAATAAACTTCAGATAACTGATAATGTAGAATTGTGTATTATCAGAAAAGTAACTTGTTCCATGAATAATGCTAATATAAGACTGAAGACTTAAGTAATTGTTGCTTGTCTTTTCAACTGCAAAATATAGATTTGAAGTTTATTTGTTTTACTGATTTCTAAGTGTGTCTTTTGTTATATTTATTGGTTTTTTAAAGGAGTTCCAAGCTCTAAACCTATTCTAACTACTTGGCCTATTTCATTTGATAAAATTACTTTTACTTAATACCTTCAATAAACCATGGGTACATATCTATAGAATTTATGTTCCAGTTTTACTTGCATGAACTAACTTGTAAAGTATAATGAACATGTCGAGGCTATTACAGTAAATCTTTTTAACATAGATACTGTTCATTGAAGATATTCATAGATTTTGAACAAAGTTTACTCCAATGTTCCGCAGTGGCAAGTTAAAAAATATGTACCATTTAATTCTAAAATGTGCTAAACACATGGAAAAAAATTTGCATACAGCCTTGCTTTTACACACAAGCTGAGCAAATTAATAAGGATTCTGGTAAGTTTCAACGATTACATTTCTTCATTACAAAATTGTAAATAGCACCTTATGTTACTATAATGCTTTTGTAATGTATTCCAGGTTGGACATATATGAACGTGCATTCGTTTTTTTTTGTAGCAGGTGCAAAGACACCTGCTAGTACTACAAGTTTTACTTCTTCTGAACTTGCACAATCTAAGTATATTCAAGAAAAACTAAGAATTGAAACAATATAAATATAGTTTTCAAGGTAAAAATATATACACACAGTCCATTAAATGAGTGATATAATTATTTACTTGTACATAGCATTTGGTATTTACAGAAACATGAAGAAAATATGTAGGTCTTCCTGAAATACTTTGCCAAACAACAAAGCTTTGTATGTTACATGATACTGACATTCATTTGTCCATTGTTACAAGAATCACAATACTTGCATATGCTATACATCATGCAAAGTATCCAAATTCAGAAAGGTTTTTGTAGGAAGCAAAATAAACTACATCAAATGTAGTGTATTTATCTTTTGGAGAAGGGCTTGGGAATTGTACAGATAAACAGTTCCATCGACTTCTTGTCAGACGAAATTAGGTCTGGTTACTATTACAAAAGATGTCTATATTTCCATTTGCGATAAAACAGACACACCATGTAAACAACGAAAGATAGATTCTTGCGTCGTTCAATAGAATTCATTTAAGGTTTGAAGAAGTTTGAAATATCAAAATATAAATCGTTACGTTCTGTTTATAACAGTTAATTTTATTCCCCATAAAAACTTACGAAAAAAGTATAGAGTTAAAGAGAATACCTTCTAAAATAGTTTACAGAGAGAACGTAATCGAAACGTACTCACCATGGTGTTTGATTTGGCCAGTAATATTTTGGCAACGATCATTTCCGGCGGTCCATATATTGCCGCGCAAATTGTACACGATAAAGATGCAATGCGCGTGTGTAAACGTTGTTATGCGCGGTCGTCATGACGACTTCGTCTCGACGCCAATGGGCGCGGGAACGTCAGACGTCGCGATGTATCTGTGAGGTGCGAACCGCCGTCGGTGCAACGACGTCTCGTCGTTACCGAATATGCGTCAAATGATCGTTCGGTTTTTTCGGGAAACAATGTGTCGTTCTTTTACGTCCTCTCAGAAGAGCAGCACATTGCTGCCGTAACCTGATAATGATCGAGAAATCGCTGTCCTCTTCGTTCGAGCCAATGATCGATACGTTATGTTGAAACGTAGCTAGAACTGCATAATTGAAGGTAAGCGTAAATTCAATTTCTTTCAACTTGTCGAACCTTTGTTATCAACGTTTATCGTTGAAATTGTGTAATAAAAGAGTCGATATTTTGTAAGCAGATTCGAATAACTCATACATTAGATTCTCGATTTGAAATTTTTCGATCCTTACGATCGAAACACGAAGTAAATTCTTTTCTCCCTTTGACGTGATGAAAGTACAGATTTCTTTGGTGCGCGGTACATAAAATCGAGCGTACATGGTCTTTTGATCTGTCTCGAAGAAAGCGTAATCTCCGTGATCTCCTCTTTTCCTTAAATTACATTGAAAATTAGACGAATGGTTTCTTCCGTGGTATAATTTACTCCAAAGCAAGCGGAAATTACTTTAGAGTATTTAAAATTAAGATTCTCCCCGCGAAGCCGTAAGACCGTTTCATAGCGCTAATGATGGTACCGTGTGCCTGACAGCGGTGTAATATCGGTTGCCGCGTCACAGGGGCTCTATACACGATGCGATTTTCTTATAAGTTTGAAGACCTAAGCATGCGACGAAGCATCGATCGATCACGATTAACGCGATTAATTATTCCTTTCCTATATAAAGGAACGTAAAAAGAATATAACCACTCGTATTAACATTTCATACACTGACATATACTTTCGATTGCGTCTTGCATTCATGCGATGCAATTGTAATCGATTTTCATCGCACTTACTCCTACCATTCGCTACATTCCATGTGGTTCACGATACGTTCTTTCACTATCGCGTTCATACACCTTCTGTTGTTTCATCAATACTCTCTCTGGTAACCGCATCTGCAGCGTGCCACAGAGGAACCTGCATGAATATATTAGGTCATCCCATAAGTTTCTGCCGAAAGCGAAAAATAGTTTAACGAAAATCCAAAGAAATTCTTACTTTCTTTTTATCAAATTTAAAGGTTCGTTAGTTCGATCTAAATTATCAAATTCGATACTAACTTACGGGATCACCTAATACATATATTCACATACCGAGATACGTCTTTTCATTGTTTTTCTTCTGGTCCCGATAAAATTCCGCGCAAACACGGCGGGCCTCGCGTGCGTCCACACGGAGAGCGCCTGAATATAGGCCACCGGGCCGGTGCAAGCGAATGCCTCTTCGAAAAATGCTAATATTAGCGAGCAGCCAATATGATTATCCGCGAGGTGTGCGTGGTACGCGATTACAGAACGACGGTGTATTGACCTCGTAGCTTGTGTGTGCACGAGGTAAGGGGTCCGTTTCATGCGTGCCTGCGACTACCTCTACACGCGGTTATCGATAGTCCTAATAATTTCCCGTGTCACGTGCTCCCTGTCGCCTTATGCGCGAGCCTACCGAAATTGCATTGCTGCATATCGGTTGTCACGCACCGATTCAATCTCTCATCAGAATTAGTATCAAGATCGCAAATTAGATTTCCATCGATAGTGGCCAGGTGGGCTGTTGCCACCGTTTTACGTTCGATCGAATTATTCCTGCTTTCTTTCTTTCTTTTCTTCCCTCGTTCCATTTTCACTCCCACAATGGGACGACGCGACGGTTGTGAATTGGGTCTGGGCAGTCGAGTTTCTCAAGTACACGAAAAAGATGATTAATTGCGTCGCGTCGCTCGTATATGGAGCGATCCGGCTTGTAAATGCGGATTGACAACCACTGTATAAGTCGGTAATTTAGTGTCATGGTCGTGTACGGAGAAACACGATCTCTCGTCTACTTACGTAGACGCCCAGCATCTTTGCTCGCGCACGGATCTCGATGGGTGTAACAGACACTTTGGTATATTTATCAGTGTATCAAGGATTGTTCCTGGAGAGCTGCTCTACCCCATCAACAGACTTGCACGAAACGGACCATGACATCACGGCCGGCATATGCATTCGTATCATCCCCCTACCATTCCGATCTTCAGACAGACGTTAAATTCGTATGTCCGCTTATGGACCGTTTGCCTCGTATTGCAACGAGATACGACGCCTCCTCTATAAGCTTTTTCTTTCGTGTTCCCGATCACCATCGGCTTCCTTTTACCGTAAATCAACGCGATACACGAATGTCCCCGTTTCGAGCATCCTTATTCATAACCGTGGGATTAAAGGCGACGTCGTCCCGTTTCACCGTCGTTCATTTTTCTTCTTCCTTTTTTTTTTTTTTACGATCGACACGATCACTTTTACGGCAGCCCGGTAAAATTGCCGTCAAATTTTTCATTATACGCGTACGGAGCCGCTCAAGTGGAACCGCTTAACAGTCTTTTCATTCGATTTAATGCAGTTTGGTTCGGCTTCGTTGACCGCGTTATTACGCGTTTTCCACGATGCCGCTGTTCACCACGTCGATGCACACCGGCCTCTATTATTCACCCAGTACCTCCGATAAAATTGGTCGCGCTCGCAATTCACCAACTCGTTAAATCGAACGTTTCTTCACAACGATTGTAATTTTCCGCGATGGCCGAATTGCGAGGCGCGAAAGTTCGTCGATAATGCAGGAAGGTTGAACGATTCGTAACCGGCGACGATACAAACCTCCGGTGACGTGTTTTACGTTGTTAAACTGGTAGCCGTGTATACGAGAACCGCACGTTAGTTTCTCTTCGTCGATCGTTGCTGGACAGGTTCGAAGGAGTACAACAAGAGTACCACGCCGTGAATGTATTCGAACGTACGAACGTGTGCAGCTTGAAAACTCCAAGCAGAAGCACGAGATGAAATTTCAAGTGGACGCAAAGCTCGAAGGAGGCGTTTTAATTATCCGCAAGTGCGTTATTTTCTAGGCGGCTCGATATACACGTCGAGATCTCGATGGAACGAGGCTTCTCTCTCTGTCGAGGTCAGAGTACATCGGCTCCGTCTTAGAAGCGGAATTACAAAAGTTTCCCTTTTAACGTTAATTAATAAGAGAACGCGCCGTACCGTGCTTCATTATAGCACGGATCCATT